TTGAATATTTTTATGAATGGTATGAATATGATATGAGCTCGAGTATACTAATATCCATCTTTGCGTTAATTTTTTTTAAATATAAGATGAACTGTAGATTAACAAATGTAACTTGTAACAAAGATTCCTTGTATCATTTTGTTAAATCATCTTTGAATACGCATCAATGTATTGCAGAATTTTCATATGATAATGTGCAAATTCATCAATTGTTTTTAAAAAATTGCATCAGTTTGTTAGTGACAATATATGTTGTCAACGGGTCCACAAAATCAGTTGTGGTGTCTGTGAGTTAGCTTGGGGGCATATAAACTCTTGAAAGTGTGGAAGGTGGACCATCATGCTAACATCGAAATATATTGTATTCTCTATACGTCCATTATATTAATCATTCTTGTCATTATTATTATTAATATATTGAGTAAATTTATATCTTGTTATATTTAGCTAGAAAAAGAAGTCTCAACTTATATGTATGTTTTTCTTTTGTTTATGCAAAATTAATTATTAAATACCAAAGAATACATTAAATCAATGATTTCATTTATTTATTGTAATGCAGCTTATCTGTTACATTGTTACTTATAATATTGTGTTTTTGATAGCAATTAAAGAAAATACACCAGAACCTCAGACCCAGGGGCCAAGAAATTCACAATTTGGAAGAGGCACCCTTGCTCATCATATCTATATACTTATTATTTTGTTTAATACCCAGGAGCAGAAAAGAAGATTTTCAAAGAATTAATGAATTTTCACTATATAATCAATAGAGACCCTCAATAGTACCTGAACCCCTGGCCCCGAGGCCATGAATTTCACAATTTTGGTAGAGTGCTCAATGCGTATCACAATTATGCCAACATTTTGACTGTTTGATGCTAAGGAGTAAAGAGGAATATTTTTAAAGATTGTATTAATTTTGGTGGTTTTAGCTCCACCCCTCAGGCCCTAGGGGGCAGGGACCATGAAATTAACAATTTTTGTTTCCTATCACCCATATACATGCTATACGCCAAAATTGGTTGAAATTGGTTCAGCGGTTTTAGAGAAGAAGCTTAAAATGTTCAAATGTTAACGCATGACGCACGACAAACGATGACAGACAAAAACGGATGACAATATGTCACCTGAGTTACTCAGTTTACCTAAAAGTGGTTGAAAGAAGTTGCTGCCCTTGAATGTAAATATTTCACTTTGATTGATGACGACATGCATATATATACATGTATAGTACACATCATTAAATGAATAAATATAAGATTCAAAACAAATAATTACTTAGCTCTATTGGCCTTGCTTATGTCTTTCAATCTACTACGCATGACACTTCATCATCTCGGCTCTGTTTGAAATACCAAATATTTTAAATTCTTAGACAGACAGCTTACAAATAATATCTGATTTCATTTTTCATTCAAAAAATTGATAATCATGTTGCAACCCTATATACTATATTATGTTTAACAACGTTTTGAAATAAGCCCTTATCTTGCTTTCCGTATGATTCGATTTCAAACATTTAACCAAAATATAATAAATATCAGAAAATTACAAAAAAATAATCACAATATAGAGAATCAGTTACATGATGAAATATGGAGATAAAGAACAATTATCAAGCTCAGAGCAGAGCAAACAGGGACACTTAAAAAGGTCAGAAAAGGGATCAGGTACCATGGAGGAGTAAGCATTCCCTGTCGACCGGTCACACCCATCGTGTGCTCTTTGTCATTATAGGGAAAAGGAAAAATATAAACAAATCGTGTAAATAAGGGTCTAACAATTAGTATGAAAAACGTGAGTCATTATTCGATTCAGCGATAGACTGTATTTTCTGAAAAGGTCATTGTATCGACCATGGAACATGCGAAATGATGACTTCACACCAGATTGTTGATATTCTTCTTTCAACAACTTGTTTGTCAAATTCTGATGCCCGATGGCCTGACACTTTATCGCATCGTTTCCTCTTATTTTGCTCAAATTTTAATATATGATCGACTCGAATTTTGTAATAAGCTTTGAATTGTTCATCGAAAATATTGCTCGTAGAACGAATGCTTAAAGTATATGCTATATGTGATTTTCATATTTTCTGCCACACCGACGTGATTCTTTATAAAAGAAGCTTTGACAGGTCGTCATTCAAGAAGCCTCAATAAAAAATAAGGATTGTTAACCACATGCAGTTAAGTAAGATAATAGTTTTGGGGTTTTCTCTTAAAAAGAAATTAATATGAATGAACACACACTTTTGTTGTTAAAAGTAGTTTTACCATTGTCCGTGAAGAATTCTATGTACTTTGCAGCTCCCAGTAAAAGAATATAATTACTGATGCTAAAACTACGACCAAAAAAGTAACAGATAGAATTACACACGTACAATTGTAGGTATTTTCTACTTGGTTGACAGTTACCAGTATGCTACAAAAAAAAGAAAGAATTATTTACTTTTCTGTTAATAAAAGTTTTCTTTTTCAGTTGTAAATTTATTTTTCTTAATGCAAACGAATGCTGCATGTACCTTTTATTTGAAAATGCATCCGTTGTCTCCGATTCAACATCAACTACAGAATGCGTCGTCATTAAATTATCTTTGGATTGGAGTTTTCCTGTCGTTTGTAATTTAATTAAATCATAGGTGGCCAAACCATCTGCAGTTGTTGTGTTCTTTCTCTCTTTGTTAATTTGGAAACAGGATGGATATATAGTAAAAAAAATAATGCTCTGATTTTTTCCAAACATAGTATGTATAGTTTTGATTGTTGAATTTGAAAAAAAGGAATGATCCCGAACTAAACAAGGTAGTTGCTTCTTAATTTTAATAAAAGGCTTTAGTTAATGTAAGTACAACTTGATCTCTGAGTTATGTTTTTGCCTTGCGAATTCTTGTAGTGTTTGTTTCAAAAAATATAAAAACAAATTAATTCTTAAAACTGTATGTTTCGCTAGAGTTAAGTATTTTTTACCCATGGATATTATCGTCTAAATCTGGTTATCCTACGTTTAAATGGTGAAAAATATCCTTTCCATTTATCCTGTCTTGTGCCTAAGTTGTAACTAGAGCTTACAAACAAAACCTTGTGAACTATTCAGCGTAAAGATCCATCGAGAACGGTCGCGTGACCTTCCGAAAGTATGACGAGGTAAAATACTTGATTTTGTTTGCTGGGCATAGTTTAGAATCTGTTACGTTATGCCATGTTAAATTATTTTGTTTATTCTATTAAGTACATTATTTGAAATCTCCTCTTCTTCTCTTGTGCCCCGATTCCTTCAAATTAACCAGCTTTCCACAACGCATAGTAGTGCACTCGTGAAATCTCATGTTTACGATTGAAGCAAAACTATTTAGCGCGCATGTGCGTTATCTGCAGTCGTTGTATTTATTGTTGAACTACTATAATTATTTTTTAACCTCCCAATTTCTTCTCCTCTGTAACAGATGCGAACTAGACTCTGTAATTTTTGGGAAGTGAAAAACTTTTACATTGTAAATGAATGATGGTAGTGATTCAAATTATCTGAGATAAAAAAGATAGGATCATACAGCTTCAACCCTTCAATGGACATACATGAGTATCTACACAATAATATTTATACGTATTAAATGTAAAAGTCGCTTTAAAAAAAGAAAAAAAAATTGAATGACCACGATTGTTTTATGCCTTGATTGATTGATTGTATGTTGTTTTACGTCCCATTCGAGAATTTTTCACTCATATAGAGACGTCACCATATACCGGTGAAGGGCTTCAAATTTTGACCTTTACTCGGCACTCAGGGCCATTGAGCAGTGAGGGATCTTTATCGTGCCAACGCCTGCCGTGACACGGGGCCTCGGTTTTTAAGGTCTCATCCGAAGGACCCGCAACTTTCACTTCAAAGTGCCGAGCGCATGGCGAAGGAACAGTTGCTACCTATTTTTTATCGACTTAGGTCTGTCGCGGCCGAGATTCGAACTCACGACCTCCCGATCACGGAGCGGGCGCTCTACCGACTGAGCTACCGTGAACGGTTTTTATGCCTTGAAAACAATCCAGATCATTAAACGAACCTCTGTAACGAAATATGGAGATAATGAACAGTAATCAAGCTAAAAAAAAAATCCTTTTAAACACTACAAATATGGAACAGAGCAAACACAGACCTCTGAAAAAACATCAGAGGTGGGATCAGGTGCCATGGAGGAGTAAGCATCCTTTGTCGACCGGTCACACCCACCGTGTGTTCATTGTCATGATCGGGAAAACGGAAAAATTAGTAGACAATTCGGTGTTTAGATAAGGGCAACAATTACATATATGAAAAACATTCTGTATGAAAACGTTGTAGTATTAAAAAAGTATTGTAACTATATTTTTATGTTACTTATCACAACACTAAGTACATCAAATAAAAATGCTTTAATTTTATTTTACTTTGCTGGTATGCTTTTTATATATTTGAAACAGTTTTGTTTCAATTCGAGACACCGAAATTTTTTGTTTTGTTTTTCTTTAAAGAAGAAAGAAAAGAAAAACAAATAAAAAATAAAAATTAAGTCCAAATTTCCTCTGCATTGCTTTGAATCTACCTTTGTTTTTTACATTTTTTTTTCAAATAATAAAACATGAAAATTTGATTTAATATTTATAATGATTTATTATTTGATATTTTGTCCACTTAGAACAGTTTTTGGTTTAAGCTATTGTAATTTATAACAATATGTTTCAGTCAGCTAAAACCTGCTTATTTTTACATTTCACTTTTCTTCAACAACATCAAGATTTAATACAGTTTTATATCTGGATATTTTTACTTCTTCTTGAAGTATAATCTCAAAGACAAATTTCAGGGGAAAAAACAAACTTTAAAAAATTTGTCCACATATTTTGCAAACACGTGCTTCTTATTTATATGTACCAGGTGGGAAAAAGCACGTCTTTAATATTTTTATCCCCCTATTCACAAACTTCAGAAAATATGTTAAAACAAAGGCAGTAACTTACATTTGTAAACCTCAGTTGAATAATAATAAAACGGACAAGCGACAGAGGCTTCCTTACAAAGTACCTGGTAATTTTCTTGAATTATTTCCCCTTCAAGGTTAAATTCAGGACAGTAATACCCTGAAAAGAATGAAAGGTTACTTCCACTTTTATTGTGAAAAACTGCTGATCCACATTATATAGTTAAACCAGATTCAACCAGTTTTAACTCACATTGCGTTCATTTTATGCTGATGATAATTTTCCCCATTTAATGCAGTTGTTGGATGCGGATTAAGTTATAACTCAGTGAGAATCCGCCAAAAAATTAAAATCCAAGTGTTATATGAAAATATGACTTTTGCAAAATATGAACATGAGAAAAAAAACATCATAATGATTCTCGGAGGGTTCTCTAAATGCTTCGAAATCGAAGAACTGTTCTAATATTCATTTTATTTCATTTGAGAATAAAACTTATGTTGATATACAATTATTTTGTTTTTTTAGGTCAATACGATGATTTAACCACCTAAGAAATACAATATTCATGAGCCCATAAGGTTTTGTTATGATTTCATTATCAAAATGAAACAATCTTCTTTATCAAACCTTGCATCTTTGATAAATTTTACATTTGTTGAAGTCCTAGACAAACGTAGAGAGAAAAGCGGATTTAAATTATACATAACCAGTTGTATTAATTTGGAAATTCTTATCTATATTTGGTGCTCTGTAGAAAAGAAAAGTATTATTATATTCACATGGAGGTGAAATAACTTTTCATGATCTATTTTTGGTACAATTAAGAAAAAAAAGTTATGTTCAGCTGGAAGGTCTCGTGAAGGTGAACATAACTTTGTATAGTTTCTGAAATTTTGGAATCTCAGCCAATCAGAGAGCTAAGAATGATCAATCTTATAATAAACAGCATTGTGAAATATGTGGCCATTCTACTTACAATTATCACCGAGGGTGAAATATGCACAAATCTTAAAGTCAGTATATCAAAATTCAAATAAATTCTAAATTGACTTTGTCAAGAAATATTTTAATTCTGCAATAAAACTCGAATTACTTTATAAAATCAATATGCAAACATGATTATATATATGCTGCGTATAAAGCTTTTTTCAAAGCTATCAGTTATTGATTCATAATTACACGTTAAACGGTGCTTATTTTTTTTTCTATTTGCATGACACCTTCCTGCAAGCCATAATAATTCTAATCGTTTCTTTAAAGACAATTACAATAAACTTTAAGCATAAGAGCACATAGAACTAAACTGAAGATAGACTTGTGTGTAAATTTAAACATTTGGTCAGTCTAACCAGGCACTGCAACTGCTTGAACTCGAATTTGAAAACTAACCAACGACGGACGTTTCAGGAGCACAGACTTCCAAAGTTGCATTAATCCACGGATTCGTCACACAGTGATATAATGGTCTTTCTTGATGCAGACAAGTTGGTGGGTGCACAGAACAGTTTTTTCTTTCAGCAGCACGATTCCATGACTGACGATTTTCTGGACAAGAGTGAACGTACTCTACTGTAGTTACAGGATTGAAGCACTTCCAGGAGAAAGAGAATGTACAGTTTAAATGTAAAAGCTGTGAGAAAAAAAATAAAAATCAGAAACAATCAAATGTTGGCAAATATTTGAATATTGGTTTTCAAGCAATTTCGCTAAAATTTACTTTAAAAATTTTTGTTCCTCTAAATCTGTGTTGAATTTGAAAATTTTTCTAATTTAAAATTTGCAAGTTGAATGCATAGAAAACATAACTAACTAATCAAAATAAAACGAAGACAAAACTTCTAAATTACTTTTGACAAAAATACATGTATTTCTTCCAATTATTTTTTTAATTATGTTTTTAACTTAACAAAAAGTTCTCTCTGTTTCTGCTTCCGACATGTTTTGAAGATTCTTTAAACTTGACTAGGTCTTTAAAATGTGTATATTTGAAAATTACCAGTAAAATGCAATTTGAAGATTTGAAATGTCTTATCATCTTGGTCGTAAACTCATTGTAGCAATCATTACTCAGAACTCAGATTCCAGCTGAAATACAATTAAACATAACACAGAACATGTTAAAAAATTGTAGTAACATGCAATGCAAAATTTCACTTTCTAAATCTTTATGAATATCAAACCCTTCAAATTTACAAAACTTAAATTTTCAGTGTGTTGTTAAAAAATTCCTATGAGCTCGTTTTGAAAAGTAGATTTTAATTTTTACTTTTATAAATAACATTATTATATTTGAAAGCTTTACTTGTACCATTGGAAATTAAGATTGAATTGATGATCAGCTAATTAACACCATTGTTATTCATCACGGTACAATAACCTTTGAATAAACTGTGTTAGGACTTTGTTATATTATTGTCACACTGAATTGTCTACGGATTCCACTGCTTACATGACAAGGGACACACACAGCGGATGTAACCGATCGTCAGGGGATGCTCACTTCTCCATGGCACCTGATCCATCCACTGTTTTTAGAGGTCTGCATTTGCTCTGCTCACTATTTGTATTGTTTAAGTGGACTTTTGAGCACGAGTTCTGTTCGTTATTTTCACATTTTATCTATCTTTTCCTCATTTTCTTAGCAGCAATCAAAAAAGCAATGTGATATACCATATAAAAACATGAAGCAGTGTTTTGAGTTTAAAATTAAATCCAAGTGATACAAATCAAATCTGTGTTTGGAACATGCTGATGCCTAAACAGTATGGTGATGTGAACTAAAATTTAGTGGATCAATTCAAATTACAATAGATTACAATGAAATTACTTGGATTTTTCCTATTAGACTTGAATCTCTCACTCAGTCTAGCGGAAAGGATGGATTAAGTGAATGATCATTTTCGTGTCATTTTTTTTAAAAGTCATGTGGTTTTCCAGGAAAAGGGAGTGAATATTCCATTATCTGATACAACATACATGTATTTTTCTTTTCTTTTTTTTTTTTTTTTTTTTTTTTGCTAGGTGATATCTCACGGTGTTGAAAATTTTTTCCACAAAAACAAGAATATGATTATTGTAAACAGTACTTTTTGGAGTCATTATTGAGCGTTTAGGTCACCTGAGTCGCTATCTGTTTTTTGTCCGTCGTCGTCCAATTTGTGGGTGTGCGTCATCATAAACTTTTGAACATTTTCAGCTTCTTCTCTGGAACAAAAATTGTGAATTTTATGGTACTCGCCACCTGGTGCCTGCGGAGTGGGGCTCAAACATCAAAATTAATGCTATCTCTAAAAATCTTCTTATTTATTGCTAGACATCGAACAGTCAAACTGTTGGCATGATTGTAATACGTATTGAGCCTTCTACGCAGCAGAGGTTAAGGCTGCAGTAAGGATGCGGGACCTAATTTATACGGGAAATGCTTACTATGACATCACGTAAAAATATAAGTTCTTCAAATTACTACAAAATGAAATGATTTGCTATTTTAAACTGTTGAATAGCTTTAAACTACATCAATACTAACTAGTGCATACATTATTATCGTTGGTTAAATCCCACATAGCAAGGTATAAACAATTCACTTATCGCAATGCACTTGTCAATGTGACGTCATATGGTAAAATTTGACGCAGTTTGTATGCAGTGAGAGGCGGATCAAGTTATATTTATACAATGAAAAATGTATTTTGTAATTAAATAAAATATAAATTGTAGATATATAAGAGGCCATTAACTGTCTATTTTATGATTTTATTCATATAATTCCCGTACATTCCCTAGACAAGCGATACTGTCGTATATTTGTATGCAGATTCATTGAAGGGTAATAGAAGGGTCGTAATAAATCGATATATTGCAAGGGCATACCCTCAATGAATTATGACATGCTTTTACACATAAACTCAAGAAGTATAAAGATATTTGAAAAGTGCTGCGAACCTGTTGAAATCTTGCAAATGAACTAATTATATCTATATTTATTGTACTTGACCAGCAAGATATTCAGCATACGGTCTAACAAATGTAATTTTAGCAATTAGATAGTAGAATCTATATAGGTTCGTAGCACTTTTCACAAACTACAAAGACTGTTGAAAATAATTATGTTAAACTTAGATTTTTAACTTGGTTATACCCTTGCAATATTAGAATTTATAGATGACCTCAATACTTCAGGTATATTTGCTAAAATCACGTGACTGCCACATCACGTGACAAGTCTAAATAGGAAATCTAATCGTCCTCAACATTTAGTTTTTAAACACTTTGCATTTGTCTGGTAATAGTAAAGTCCTAAAAAGAAACGCCCATCCTTGTAAAGAATGCATTTTTTATCTAAAAAAAATTCGCCGATATTTCCTTTTGGCACCTTAACTGTACTGCGTACAAAAATTGTGAAATTTTGACCCCAGTGTCAGCTTTTGTCATGAAACCCTACAACCTTTAATACTTTCTTATTTAATGAAATATATGGAGATAACAAACAATATTCAAACTCAAAAAGTCCATCTAAACAATACAAAGCAGAGCAAACACGGACCTCTAAAACATCAGAAATGGGATCAGGTGCCATGAAAGAGTGAGCATCCCCTGTCGACAGGTTACACCTGCTTTTTGCTCAATGTCATTATCGGGATATAACGGAAACAGTGTGTAAATAATGGCTTAACAATTAGTATAAAAACCGTCAGTAAGCATTTGTCTTAATGATTGATTAAATTTGATTAAAAATATATTATTTTGTAAGAAAAATATGCATTGTATATCTTTTACACATCTTTTACACATGAAATAAATTAAAAATTACATTTAAGTCTATAGAATTCAAGAGTTTATCTTATCTCAAGAGTTTTATATTATATTTTCTTGCAATCTACTTTATCATATATGTCTACCCTAAATACAGCAGCCTAATGGAATGCAAACCATACAAAACTGCCAATGTATGATGCCATTACTTGGATTTATCAAAACACTTTCGGAATGCTGTGAATTCTGTGAAATGCGTTACAGTTGATTTTACTTTAGATTTGATTCATATTATATTGAACCCAGGACCCAATTTCTCTCTAAGCGGTTAATTAAGGAATAACAGTATTTTACTGTCTAGTCTTTTTAATTCCATAGGCGCTGATACATAAAATTATCATGTGAGCAATAAAGATTCTTCATCATCTTAAAACCAGTATCCATGCAATTTTTCTTTTATTTACATTTTTTACTCATCCTTGATTCAATAATAAATATTTTCATTCAATAATAAGAATTTTTTGCAAGACATGCTGGGTGTATTACTAAGCAAAGAGCAGCGAGAAAGCATGCAGGTCTGTCACGTACTGGGCAAATCGCTTTATAAGGATATTAAGCTATTACCTTATTTGTAGTTTTATCTCGAGCTCGGATAAAGACATTAAAAAATGTAAATATTATGTCTAAAATCCTCTGTCCCAATAGTTTACAAATCTCCCGAAAATATTTTCTTTTCCGTTAGGGGATGTTTTTCGTGGCCTTCGAACAACCTAACCTAATTAGAACATATTAACTAGGATGCATGAGATTTTCTAATTTTCTTCTATGTTTTAAAGTATAGGTCCTGTGGAAAGAAAACATGATTTTTTTTTAAATGGAAAAGGACATCCTTACAGAGAATTCAATATTTGTCGAGAACTGGGATGCAGAAGCAAAATATACAGACATGCACATTAAGTCATATTTGGTATGGAATGGAAAAAAGTTTAATTTACATAGAATTGGAAAACTTTATTTGTTGTTTGAGAAAAGTTTCGTAAAGTTATATTTCTAAGATAAGTCAGGGGCATTATAATGCATGCCAAGTGTCCATCGATCATTTTCCTTTTCTTAAGTTCCTTCCCTCATTTGTCTATCTCTGCGTTAAAAGCAGATCTTGCAATAATGTAATTGCTGATTCCTATGTGTGTTTGTGCAAAGCTAAAAACCCTCTAAGATATGTTTCATTTTGAGTCAAAGAATTTTTGAGTTTATAATTTTATTGACCTTTTTTATTTTATTATTTATTTTCTGATTTTCGTTATTTTGAATTTCTAATATTTGATAACAAGCTTGATGTCCTCAATAAACAATAATCAATTGAAAGAGTACTTGATGTTAAGGTAGTCATAAAATGAAGTAAAGGAAACTTGAAAGATATCCAATTTAAGATAAATGAAGTCATTGACTGCCACAGAAATTTGAATTTGCACCATCAAAGACTGTTGATATTATTTTCTTTAAAAAAATGTTGGAATTTCAAATTTAAATAATAATGATTTAAATGCTCTCTTTAAATATCTATCAACCCATTTACCACGTCAAACTGCAAGTTTCATATATAATGCATAAGACATAAAGAAAAATCACAGGAAGCTTGATTGGTTGATTGATTGTATGTTGTTTAACGTCCCATTTGAGAATTTTTCACTCATATTGAGACGTCACCGTGTGCCGGTGAAGCGCTTCACATTTAGACCTATACTCGGCACTCAGAGCCATTGAGCAGTGAGGGTTCTTTATCGTGCCGACGCCTACCGTGACACGGGACCTCGGTTTTTAAGGTCTCATCCAAAAGACCGTGACTTTCACTTCAGGTGCTAGCGCTTGGCAAAGGAACAGTCACTACCTATGTTTACGTCTTAGGTTTGAAAGAGAATCGAATCCACGCCTCCCGATCACGAAGCAAGAGCCTTTCCACTAGGCTACCGTGACCGGTAACAGTTATGTAATAAATATATATATTGATAGAAGTGACTTATAGGTTCGATGTGCCGGGTGATGTGCATGTGCTTATTTGTATTATAAATGTAAAATTGATGTATTCACATACCACTATAATAAACTATTTACTTCCTTACAAAGAAATGTTACGTAACATTTATGTCAGTTGGGTTTTTTTTTTTTTTGTGGTTGCCTCATATAAGTAACAAATTACCCGCATGGCGCCGTGGTTATATTGATTGTTGCTTTACGTTCCGTTCGAGAATTTTTTACTCATTTAGAGACGTCACCATATACTCGTGAAGGGCTTCAAACTTAGACCTTTACTCGGCACTCAGAGC